TAGTTTTTTTCAGATGTTTTTTTTATCAGATTTCTCATGTGAAATGGAAATATCCTAATCCGGCAGAGATTACACATTTGATTTGACACTTTGATAAATGTGGGAAACTCCATTCAGAACATGTTCTCATTTACAGGAAAGCCAGCTATGTGTGTTCTTAGAATAAATGCATTTGAAAGAAAACAGGTAACACATGATTGGAAATTAAAGAAAAGCAGACACCAAAAGTGTCAAATCAGAAAAATACAGATTTTCATGCTAAACACCTTCACTCCTCTGGTTTCTCTTCAGTGACATCTGACACAACTTACATAAAAACGAAATGACTATGGTAATGTGATGGCTTCCTGTCATTTGCACTTAAATATATCTACGTAGATGCTTCAAAACTAAAGGAGGATATCCGTAGTTTTTGCTGACATGTGCAAGTTCCACTGCCAGATGTGTGCAGGTCAGTGGTTACCGTGAATGCTGTGAGAGAAATTAGTTAGCTATTTCTATTACAATACTTGATGATAAAACATCATGTGCTGCTCACTAACAGCAAGCAATGACTAATCTGTTGCTAGAAACGTGCCCATTTTAGAAATCATACTTTCATTTTTATTTATATATGAATGGGACTGAGCCTGAGTTGTGTCAGACTTATTGTTCTACATTATTTTTACGTTTGTAAGTTGTGGGAAGAGACTGTCTAACTGGTGTGGTGTTTTTTTCTCAAGCATAGTAGACTAACAGTGATTCAGTTCGGTCCTCTACTTGCATGCTTTTTTGATTATATGTGTAAGTGCAGTTCTGATTGAGTAACTAATAGCAAAGATTGTACATACAATTGTGCAGTAGTATGAGCCAGACCTGTCCTTATCCTTTAAGCTACAAAATAGCCAAAGTAGCATATAAAGTATAACAATATTGCTAAAAAAAGTGTAATCTGTGGTTATCTAGTTTTGAGGCAAAATTAGATCTGTAAACCTGTGTAGCCTGTTATACTTCATTGTTCTTTGGGCAGTCACACAGGGGAAAGTGCCAGTGGTAGGTGGCAGCTCTCGGAACCATTTTGTATGCTTTTTGGACTTCAGTTAGCCTCTATGGCGACTGTGTCATGTGTCTGAATACACACCTGTCCACATTTCTGTCAATCCAATTGCACACATTTTAAGATTTAATATAAGCCCCACCTACCTCAGAGGTTGCAGACTAGACCTCAGGCGTTGCATGTTATACAGAACACACAGTGCACTCTAATGATGTAAGAAGCTGCCAGTAGGCCCAGATAAATCCAGAGTCTCATAGAAACTAAAGAGGCCTAACCACATTAACCAGCTTAACTGCTCCTACCTCTCAACACCTCTTAAACAACAGCATTTCCAAAAGTTCCCCCTTCACCATTGTCGAAATGATGGTGAAGAAAGACATTACATTTACTCATTTGGCAGACGCCTATATTCAAGGAGACTTACATTTGAAGAATAACATATGAGCATCAACAGAGCATCAATACAGCACGATATCTTCAAGTGACAATACATACTAGTAAGGGCAGCAATAACTACTAGTAAGAGCAAATAGCTCGTATGACATTAATGGGGTACCTAGGGAAAGAAGTAAGAGTTAACAAAAAAGAAAAGAGCACAGGAAGTGCATGTCAGAGGTTAGGGGTTAGAGATGTTATAAGAGAAAGTGTTTTTGGAAGAAATGAGTTTTCAAGAGCTTCAGGAAGTTAGAGAAGGACACCCCTGCTCTGATGCAGGTAGCTCATTCCACCATCGTGGTGTCACAGATGAGAACAGCCGGGACTGAGATTGCTGAGACCTGAAAAGACCTCAGGGTGGGTGCTTGTGTTATTATGTGCTTGTTTGCTTTTTTTGGATAAAAAAAGTAAAAGTCTTGTAAATAAATCACCATTTTTGGAATATATATAATTCCTTGGTAACAAACAAAGAGAGATAAGAGATCGCGAAAAGAGAAAGTAAATCACAAAGCATAGAATCTATATTGTGCTTTTAGTCATAGCTTATTTTTAAGCATATTTAGCAAAGTATATCTGGCAATTCGATAAACAAAATATGATCTGTTACTGTAGATATGTATACAATGTTTTGCTTTTAAAAACCTTTAACTAAATTTTGTCACTTTTTACTAATATTCTAAATTAAATGTAGCATGTCTAAGCTCACCTGGGTGTCAAGTTACAAACTACAATGTGCTTCAGAAGTGCGAAAGGCCGAGTTGAGTATGACGACACTCCTGCTTGCGTGACCCTCAGGATTGCAGCTCTAAACAATGAGCAGACCCGAGTCTCGCCGGCCAGCCGGGTGGGGCCACTCAATGGCAGGAAGCATAGCCATCAATATTTACTCTGTGAGCAGGGTAGTCGAGGAGTCGACAGGCCTGGAGCCTAGGCACACACAGCCTCAGCACACATGCACAAACTCTCTGGACTGCTGTTACAGTCTCCTTCCCCTAAGACCCCTTTTCCCACCCAATGCAATTACAACACAGGCAGACAGGCTGGGCCCTTGGACTGTTGTTGTTTGACCTCATAGCTTCCTCTGCCAAAGAGCTCGGGCTTTAACCACTGTTCGACTCCTGATAGAAACCAATATTAAGTTACGGCCTGTTAATTTCAATCACATCAAAATGTCACAGTTAAAATGTCAGGGAAATCGCCTTATTTTGCCATTATGCTCTAAATTAAATCTCTGTCATTATGACAGTTCCTAAGAAAGAGAACTCTAATTGTATCATCATCGCTTGATTATATTCATCATTACTCATTATTCTGCTCCTGTTTAACAGAGATGGGCGGCTGTGCTCTGCTCAAAGTGGTGCTAGTTGGGGCACTTCTGTGGATTTCTGCAATCCATGCAGGTGAGTTAATGGTCAGTGTTGTAAAGAGCATTCACTATATATATAATAGACTGTATGATTCAGTCTCACAGTCCTCACCAACACTGTGTAAACCCAGTGTAAAACAATGGGGAGCTATTTCCAACAAGCTCAGGCAGGCAGAGTGTACGCTGCCTTCCTGGCATGAAACATGGAAAAGTAAATGAGTGTCTGGAGAAGACAGTATTTTGTCCCAGATCAGTCACATTTGAAAAGGTTTCATAGCTTGTTATTGACTGGTGCAATCATATTTGCACATGCATGTATGCAGCCTGTTTCACACTGTCTTTGTGTACTTCCTCGTGCCTCAGACTCAGAAGACGATGGGAAGCTGCTGTGCACATGCGAGAATGTCAAAGGCACATGCGTGAATGGAACTTGCAGAGGAGACATCTGCTTCTACACGTGGGTGCAAGGCTTTGAAGAGAGGGGCTGCTTCTCCGCAGCTAACTACAGGGAGCAGTGCTTCACCTCCTTTGATCGCTTCTTTGTCCATTGCTGCAAAGAAAACCATTGCAACGCCTTCACCACACCACCTCCAAATATCAGTCAGTACCTGAAGCCACTGATTTACAATACTTTAACATCACATCCATGAATCTTGAAGAGCCACTGTGGTACTGAGCATAGTTTAGTGTAGTTTTGGTCATGCCACAGTTCAGTGCACACTCAGCATTACTTTGTAGTCATGGGATTCAAAGCTTCCTTCTATATAGTAACTGCTTCCCCCTAGTGGTCAGTTGGAGCAAAATGAAACTGCGTTGGATTGATGATTGCACTGAATGTCATGCTGTTAGCGTGTTTACCTTAAATCAAAAACAATTCTAAACTAAAACCTCTCCTTCTCAATGTACTGAAATGTTCTCAACTGGTTTCACAAACCCAAAAGTGTTTCTGTATGTGTGTATGTGTGTGTACCTGAATGCTTACATGTATCCAGATGGAGAGCCGACAACAACGCCTCCAGAAGTCAATCGTCCGGAGCTGTGGATTGCGGTGTCTTTGCTGCTGTTATTCATGACTGCCATTGTGTGTGGCGTGGTGCTGTTCCTGCGCTTCCGGCATGCACACTGCAAACCGAAAAATACTGATGAGCGTAATGTCACCTTGCTCAAGGTCCCTAATGGAGATGACCCCACATATGGCGTAAGAGACATCTAATGCTTGACATAAGACCCAATACTGTGAAAAGATGTTCAAGTTTTTGAGTTCTCACATATGGATTGTTTCTGTGTCTCTGTCTCTTTTTTTTTCAGGATATCTTCGATGAGTTTTGTACATCAGGGAGTGGGACAGGCCTGCCGTATCTGGTTCAAAGGACTATGGCCAGACAGATCTCACTTGTCGAGTGTGTCGGTCAGTCTCCTTCCTCACCGCTGATTCTCTTCTATGTCCTGTTTTATCGATTTCTTTGCAGTTGTGTAATTGTGTCACCATGTTTCCAGGTAAAGGCAGGTATGGGGAGGTGTGGAGGGGAACTTGGATGGGGGAGAGTGTGGCTGTCAAGATCTTCTCCTCTAGGGATGAGCAGTCCTGGTTCAGAGAGACAGAAATCTACAATACTGTACAGCTGCGACATGACAACATACTGGGTATGGCAGCAGATTAAAGTTCCAAGGAAGTTATTCAAGTTATTGCGTTTCCTTTGCAGAGAAATGTCATTTCAGAAAGCATCAGCTAAAAGACATATATTGATATAATGATCTCCTATTCTGGCTTTAGGTTTCATAGCCTCTGACATGACATCAAAGAATTCCAGCACCCAGCTGTGGCTCGTCACGCACTTTCATGAGCTGGGCTCGCTCTACGACTTCCTGCAGAACACCATCTTGGAGCCCGAGAGCTGCCTGAGGATGTGCTTGTCTGTGGCCTGTGGCCTGGTCCACCTCCACACTGAGATTGTCAGCTCCCAGGAAAAGCCAGCCATCGCCCACAGAGACCTGAAAAGCCGAAACATCCTTGTGAAGCGTAACGGACAGTGCTGCATCGCTGACCTAGGTGAGGGCTGTGTAGACAGCAAAATCACAATTAATCCGCGAGACTTCCAGTTGTATCTTTTAAAAGCTTCTGCTAAGCTACTATTAATGTGTTGCGACAAAACAGCTATTTCATGTTCATTTTGATCATTTCTATTAAAATTGGTGATTCACTGTCAATTAAAAAGTTGCATTTGTGCTCTCTGCCTGCTCACTCCTCAGGTTTGGCTGTGATACACTCTCAGTCCCATGACTACCTCGATGTGGGCAACAACCCTCGTGTGGGGACCAAGCGCTACATGGCCCCTGAGGTGCTGGATGAGACTATTCGCATGGACGTCTTTGAATCCTACAAGCAAACTGACGTCTGGGCCCTGGGCCTGGTCTTCTGGGAAATTACCCGCAGGACCGTTGTCAACGGTATGGAGACAGCCTATTAGGATGTTGTGCCTTTACAGTCATTTGTAGAGATATTTGGATATTCTAGTTTTAACCTATGTAAACTTCAGGAAAAGAATAGTACACTGTGTCGGTACATATCAATGGATATTTTTTAAGTTCATGTATTACCCGTCCACTCAAATGCGTTGTCTTTGTCATGTCTGCATGGCTCTGGTAAAGTATACATAAGAGGCAGTTAGTCCCATGTCTCTCAGCACTCCAGTGTTTTCCTAGTCTGTGTCTGTCTCTACTATCCTCTCTCATGATTAGCACTGCAGTAATTATAAACAGTCTTATCTGGTGTCAGCACTCACTTGTACATAATCCAGATGCCCGTGCACACAATTTGTAGATGCAAGCACGCGTCCGTGCACAACAACCACTCGCGCACACACATGCACAAACACACTTAGTCCAGATAGATAGACATTCAGAACTTTGTGTGCATTTGTGTTCTCACACAAACAGCCATACACACATGCACACACAAAGCTGGCCTTACAGATCTCCATCCCAGTGTAGTTGCCAGGGAATTTATATTTTTTCCTGCTCTCTTGTTTAGTCAAACATACTTCACAACATTCCCACTACAGTCTCAATTTCCAAGTGTGCTATTTCAGGCCTCGTACGAAGACAAATTTATGTTCTGAAAATGTATGTATTTAACATTACAGTCTGTATTTCTGAATCCTACAACCAAGACTCTGCTCCCAGTGTGACACAGGACAGGTAGAGACAGAGCTGCACTTTCTAACCTCAAGCCCTAAATATAAAACACTAAGACAAAAAAACTTGGCAAACATTTCCCAAATATTCCCTGAATTCGAATTCTTATCACACACACAGAAACTCCCCTATTTACTGGGAGAAATGCCCAAATGTGAAATAATTGCTACAACCAGTGGAAACTCAGACTGATAAATAATTGTACAAATTTTCAGATTATTGTTATTTTGATTGTTTGATATTTTAGTAATTGTTTTGTTTTTAAATTTCACATTTGATACTGATTTCTTTTTTTATTATTATTATTAATATTTTATTTTTTAATTTTTGTAATTGTATTTTTTGTCTATTAATATACACACACGTTTACGGTATTATCTATTTATTTTATTTAAATTTTTATATATTTTTATTTTTCTAACACACACACCCACGCTTTAATTACTTGTTTAATGAAATGTACAGGGTTGATTGTTCATATGTAGTTTGTATGATGCTTTGGTAATATTGTCAAAGCTAATTTGAATTTGAATTTGAATTTGATTGTTGATAGTTTAGTTGTTATTCTGCTGAACTGGAGAAGAAACAGCACACTGAGTCTTTTTTTGTTTTTTTAGGGATCGTGGAAGAGTACCGTCCTCCCTTCTTTGACCTGGTGCCCTCAGATCCCAGCTTTGAGGAGATGAAGAAGGTGGTGTGTGTGGACCAGCAGAGGCCCAGCCTGCACAACAGGCTCCATTCCCATCCTGTAGGCCATCTGATGACACACACATACACACACACATATATATAAATCAGACACAGACCCTGCATATATATATATATATATATATATATATATATATATATATGCAGGGTCTGTGTCTGATTTAATTATAAATGTAAATGCAGGTTCTGAAATTTTATCACTCACAAAGTCACTTTTGAAGTGCATTACATGAAGGAATAACTTTCAGCTCATTTAGGCATCATTAATGTAAATAACGTTGTCATTACTGTTCGATATATTTACACAAAAACATTACATGCATGTTCGCATGCACCCAAGGACCCATGTCTTTCAGTACATGACAATCAGTCCATCTTACTTAACCAGGTGTAAAAGAGGCACGATCAATTTATTATGATTACTTTATATGTCAGCCATGACAAGAAGAAAGCAGATTAGAAAGGAACAGAAGACAATGGGTTGCTGGATGAGTAATGGAGGAGAAGAAGTATCATATTGTAATAATTTCACACAAAGATAATTTGAGAGTCATGGCATGAAATAATATCATATAATATGATCAGGAACCGACAGAAGACAAGGAACACAAATTTCACCATAGTTTATTACACAGCCATTGGTCAATACAAAACCCACAGTTCAACCCCCAGTGAATGAGTCCTTATCTGAACAAAACAGCAAGAGAACAAAAAAACTCAGTTTCAATACAATAGTAGGCCAACCAAAATAAAACGTCTAACAGGCAAGCTTAGTGCTTCTCCGATAACACCGGAGTTACGTCCCGTAGTCGAGCCGGTGCTGCTGGCTAGCTAACCGCACGTCACACAGGACGGACTGGGGCTACTCCACTGGTGAGTTTTGTTTGAATTGCGCTATAGATATTCCCTGAGCTGACTGCTGGGTGCCAATCGCCACAATATGCTAACTTTAGCACATGTGTCTATCTGTTCTGTGCTTGCCCTGTCCTCCAAAGTGGCAGCTGGCCTGACAAATTCTGTTGCCACTGGCAACAATTTACTCAACTATTTGGCGGCTGGCGGGTGCTAATTTTCAGACCCTGCATACATGCACACACACACAAGTGCAATTATATTGTGTATTGTGTCTGATAAAAATCTCAATTTTGCCTGATAAAAAGGCACGTAAGCAAACACATAAACATATACACTCACAAATGGTAAACATAGAGCCCATACTCTATAAAACATAATAACAGCCTTATATTACTTAAACAGAAACAGTATGGGGCACATGTTACCTTCTAATGTGATGTATGTTACATTTGTCTCTGTGTGTCCAGATCCTGTCGGCCATTGTGAAAATCATGAAGGAGTGTTGGTACCAGAACCCACCAGCCCGCCTCACAGCTCTGCGGGTGAGGAAAACACTCTCCAAACTGGACCATGACAGTGACTTCAGCATCGAGAAACTCAAGCAGGACGTCTAAACCCGGAGCACCAGGATGAAACAGGGACACAAGATTGAAAACGCCTGAAGGGATTTTGTACCACATTCCAACAGGACGAGGTGCATCTCATTAGCATATTTTGAGCTAATGACTCACACATTATATTAAAACCATATGACTTTGAGCGGTAGTGTCTAGACTGGGTCGCACCCAAGGCTATGTTTCTTTATGTGTGTGTAGCCTAATTTTCATCTGCCATATTTCTAGTGCCTCAAACCAAGAGGCCCCAAAAAGAAAACTATTAAGATCAAGGTAGATCAAGGTATTTTTCTTTTTGTAATGTTCAGCAAATAAAAGTTTAAATAAGACATTTCTACAGCTGGATGATTAACCGAATAATTCACAGGCTGTTATACACACACAGGGTTTTAGTCATTATTGTCTAAATCCCTCATCTCCATGACGAAAAGGAAAATCTAGCATAGCACAAGTACTCATCGTCTTAGCGAGTGGAGGAATATGTCATCCTGGACTGATAAACAGCAAAATTGCACTTGTGGTTTTTCCCATAATGACTAAAGCTACTGAAAGTCATGGAGAACACGAAGGCCTTAGTGTTCATTTACTTTGAATGCTGAAAGTATTTAAGTAATTACATGCTCATACCAAAGCGCATTACCTGTTGTGTAAGCATATTTAACTTATATAGAATGAACATTTATTATCTGCACACAGACACGTTGAGGTATTTAGTTGTACATATTCTAACAACATGGACGCTGTTGTCTTGTATCACCATTGGGTTTATTGTAAATATATTTCAAAGGGTGTATTATTTTCTATTATTCAACCATGAGACACATTTTATATACTTTTTTTTTTACAACACAACTTTTTTCAAATTATTTTTTTACATTTTACAAATGTACCCTCACCCTTACTATGGTCAGTAAAGGAATTCACAAATGCAATATTGTATATGTTGAATAAAGGATTGTATTTTTGAACCATTTGTGCCATAGATACTATTTTGTACCACGATTGTTTTCACTTCTCTCATTGACCAGTAGAGGTCATCACATAATAGACAAACATACAGTGCTGCAGCTTACCTTGGGAGGTTCGAGGTGTAATCTGTTTGGCAGTTGTGTTTTCATTTGCATTGCCTCACCTTAAAATGATTAAATAAGAAAGTTAGGACCAATATTTCATCATTAAACTGAAATTAGTCAGGAGAAGGTGGGGGATGGATGATTTTACAGGAGTAATATACAACATCATATTTAAACCACCATTATATGCCCACATAACATTAAGATAAGATAACATATTCACATTTTATCTCGGTCATGCTAGTGAGATGCTAACCCAGAAAATGTAAATAGACGAATGTAAGACAAGCCTGACTGAATGGGGACATGAGAAAACAGAAAAATAGTAGCAATTGATGTGATATTCAGATGAGTCACAAATTTAACCATAACAATTTAGTTTTAGCTTTAATCAGCAACTAGCAACTGTAGTGTACAATCAGGTGTCAGATTGATCTAACACTTTGTCTAGAAAAAAGTATTTTGCATTACCAATCATCTGGTGGGAAAATGTGTTCAAACCGAAACATAAAAGCAACACGTTTTAGGAGCAGAATGTCACACTGTCACAAAGAACACAAAATGTCCAGCAAGAGTCAGAATTGCCAAGAACATTGCCCAATGGTTGGTGAAAATAATTGTATCCGCGCTGTCCCCTTCGTGTAATATCTGCATGCCAATGTTTTGTTTTTGTATCTTGTCCTGCTCGCTCTTCCTTTATCTGTTCGTGTGTGTCTATGTGAGTGTGTGTGGAAGTGTTTTCTGTCTGCCTGGTTGTTGAACAAACTCCAGAGAGATAATACTCCCTCAAAGCCCCAGTCTGTCTGGTCAGTCAGATGAAGAGCTGGTTATTTTTAACGCTGCGGGGGTGGGGGGGTGGGGGTGGGGGGTTGTTCAAGTATCAGAGAGGCCAAACTCCCTCTCTGTGAGTGCAGAAGCCCATCTCACTTCCCCCTGTTTCCCTCCTCTGGGTATTCTTTTTCACAGTGGGATCATTCCAAATGGCTTGGTAGAGACAGAGGGATTTGTTCAGCAGACAACGTCCACTGAGGAAATGTGGAGATAAATTGGACAGGGCTGATAATGGACAGATATAAAACCACAGAGGAGACTATGCAGACACAATTAGGCTTGAGGATAGATCAGTGAGAGTGGTGGCAAAAGGACAGGTGATAAAAGAAAGCACAAATCAAGTCCCAAATGTACCTGGTTACAGCCTGACTCACATCTTCCTGCGATGACCACATGTGGTGGCAGCTGGATGTGTTAGAAGGGTACAGACTAAGGGGTTCGCTTAGGGGTACAGATCCCCTAAGCGAACACCCTGAATAGGTCCAATGGGTCCTGGACCAAAACACCTTTAGCAATCTTTAGATGACTGATTATTTTACACTCTCTAGCTAAAAACTGCAATCCGATACAGCAGCTGATACTGAATCTGAGATAAACTGGAACAATAAGGGATACAATGTGACAGACATCTTTTTTTTGTGCAGACTGAGGCCAAATTGGTCTTACAGATTTTGACTAGGGGAGCTGATGGAAGTAGAGATTAGACAGTTGCAGTGCCCCAAAGCTGTAGTATCAATAAAGGACTTGTTTGAGAACAGATCTTTCTGTATGGATGGATAGACATGTATTTGTCATAGTCTGACTAGCCTAATAATGGTACTGCCAGGACAAATGCAGAGAGTCCCATAGTCACCGTGTGCATGTAAGGCATATCATTTGACCGCTGCCTTCTAACTTATACTCATAATAAGAGAAATGGTGTTGTAGTCACTCACAGTCACATTGGATTCCTCCTCCATTTCCATTAGAGGATTATATCTTGCCTGACTTCAGATGTCTGCTTTGAATGTAGACATAGTTGAAATTAGAGTCATGAGTGTGGTGACTGACCCTGTGAACACATTTGGATGTTATCAGTCATCAGATTTGCTTTTAACACAGATATTTTATCTCATAAAAAGAGACATTTCACGATTTTGTGTTTTCATTGAGAATGCCAGTCGAAGATGGACAGTAGGACCCAATTTAATCCCTGAATACATTTTTATTTCTTAAAAGATCAGTCACCAAGTGATAATTTAACTTTTCATTCAGTTATTATGACTGCTATTCTGAAGGGAAAACAACAAAAATGTGTGATTATTTTCATAGTTTTCTCATTTTTAAAACGTTATCTTTATGAGAAAACAAATTTCTTATGCCATAAAACAGAAATTTTCTAAATGTGACATTTTCAGTAATAACAGTGGAATGTGGCCAGTTACACCCAGTTTTCCCGGAATATATTTTTTCTTTCAAATGGATCAGTGACTAATAGCAAGGTCTTAGTCAAAATAAACCAAGAATGCCAAAACTAATTTAAACTTAATTTACCCAGCATATTAAGTCTGACATAATCTTTAGGACATAACAATTGTACTATAGTCACAAAGTGATTTTCTAATAAAAGTCTTTCAATAAACAGCGATTAGGTGATTTTTTAGGTGTCAGTAAAGGAATAGGCCTACACAAAATATGTATTATGTATTACCATAAAAGCAATTAAATTAAATTGAAATTACAATTGCAATATCAAGAATTCGGCATGGCCTATGTGATAATCCTGCAGTCCTAATATAAAATAGCCATGCAGAAGCGGGTTTGGGCGAATGCTGATCTCTCTCTCCAGTAGAAGAGTTTAGTAAATGCCCCTAAAATTAGTTCAAGGGGCAAATTAAACTTCACATACTCTGATAGCCACTGTACTCTACATCCTCTAATGGTTTCCCATTCTTATCCAGAAGGTGAACAACAGACCACATGTGTGTTTTTATCCAGTCTTACTAAACCCAAATGTGATGTTAACAGAAACAGTCTCTTCATGGAAGGACAAATAAATTATAATAAGTAGGCTAACCATAACTGAATAATTAATCAATATTATTTCTTAATGTAATTTCATACAAAGTAGGTTGAGTGGGGAGTTATTTTCTTTCTTGCAATTATTGTATGTCAAGTTTCCCCTCAGAAACTGATGAAGTGGTTGCACCCAAAATGGACCTATTAACATGCTATTTTCTGTCGACTTCAGACGTTCACAATTGAGTGTCAACAGGGTGTTTTCGGTCGTCTTAAGATATTCAAATTGGCTTTGCTAACAGGATGTTAATGCAGTCCAATGCGGGTTTTTTAAAAACTTTTCAAAGATTATGTCCTCCCCCCTCACATTGTTTTGGTCCGCTGTCTGGCTTTTTCAGACCCTCAGCTACTTTCTTTCAAAAATGTATTGTCCCCAAAAACTGTGATATGAAATATCTATTGATACTGACTAAATACCAACAACAAAGATGTCTTCAGATATTTCACCTTTTCCAACACATGTTTTCTCTTTTGTCATGTGAAGTTTTATGATTTTACACTTTTAGTAGGTTAATAATAATTGTGGAAGATGGCCAGTCAGTTTTTGTTTCAAATATATAATTCACCAAATGGAAAATGTTAAGTAATGACCTCAATCAAGGTTATAGGTTTCGATCCATTCAACCATAAAATAAAGGAAAACAGTAACACAACTGACCCACTGTAATCAACCACTGCTGATTACAGAAGATAAAAGCTCATAAAATAACTATAGATAAAAACAATAAAACTGGATTGGATGTAACCCCCAACTGCACTACATTTTATTCTGCCATTACTCAGTGTTTTTCTAAAAAATAAAATAAAATAAAAAGGATGCGTTAATATGTGCCCACTGCGTCTTTTGATAATGTGAGACTGGAATATTGTAATTCAGCCAACTTTATTTTACATACAACCCTTTCTTATACAGTCTATGCTAACAACACACAGCCTGGCCTCGGTGGCAGAGAAGGGGCGCAGGCAGCCCTCCCCTTTAAACATGCACACACACAGACACACACACTCACGCACGCACACACACCCCTTTAAACACGTCACTCGCCAGGCTGGCTGGCTAGTATTTGGCGGTGTGGTGTGTGCGGTCGGACTGTGGTTGTGTTTCAGGTCTGGTCGCGTTGATAACACTTCGGTCGCATTTCATCGCGGAGAGATGGGAATTCAGAAGAAATGGCTCTAAGACGAATAATCCTAACGTTGCTGGCCCTGTTCGGCTTGGTGGCGGTCGGTAGCGGTAAGTTTCAGCTGAGCACTTCTCCGGCTTTTGTCTCGATGTGTTTTCCTGGACTGGGCATCGCCTGTTGTCGCTCATCGTCATGGCGCTCCGTATCAGGGATTTGGCTAACCGTATCTAGCTAGCGCCGACCTCTAAAACCTCGGTTGCTGTGTGCCCGAATTAAAAGTCATGCTTTTTTGTTTGTTTATGGCTGATTGTGATCTTTTATCGACTGACAAAACCCGACGTGTGAATGGTCGTTATTGAACACGGAGCAAGTAGTTAGCTAAAACCACAACAACAACATGGTGGGGCTGTTTTTTTCGAGGCGGCAGCTAACGTTGGCTAGCTTACTGGAGAATGCACTGTTTAAAGTTGAATATTGTTGATAATTGTGCTTTTGGTTGTTGGCTACAAGACTCAATTAAAATCGGTTTATTATAGCGTACGGGCTCACCAACTGGTGAATAATCTACAGTCTGCGGAGATATCTGTCGCTGTTATGCTAGCATATTTACAGAACAATCTCTTGTTGGCTTGTGTCTGCTTATCACTGTATTGCTTCGGTGCAACACTGTGTAAAGATAGCAGACTGGTTAAGAACATGTGCGATGTGCTCAGTGACAGTTTCCCCACATTGTTAGTGCACTGGTTTCCAGTGCAGATAGGAGTCCCTGAATGAAGGCCTAACCTACTTTTGTGCATGAAATGTGTTTTTGAGAGTAAACACTGGCAGCTCTTCCATTGGTGTCCATTTGTAAGGAGTGAAAAGGCTGCTTAGTGGCCTCCAGCAGAAAGTGAATGCTGGCATAGGGTGACAACAGCCGTGCATTCAGCCATCCCAGACAGAAGTCAGAGTTGAAGTCTGGGTTCATTGTGATGGAAATGTAGCATGTGGGGTCTTTTGAGGCGCCAGTTATGGGGCTGATTCACTCTCTATCCTCCCCGTCTGCTGGAGCAGCTGATGCCCAGCTCCACGCCACAGTCTCAAATGGACATATGTTTCACTGAACTTGGCTGTTTTTTTGCGTCTGCAACATGTCTACTCATCTTTGACTTTGCTCCAAACACCCCATCAGGGTTTAATAGATTTTCATTTGAGACATAAACACGGATTACACAATCCCCCTCCAATGTTTTTCCTCATCCTGTGGTCCCTGTGATCTCTGCGTTTTGAGGCTGTCTTACCTTGTTGCGACTTGCCACCCAACAGACAAACTAAGTAATAAAATTCCAAAATTCCACTCTTTGTGCCAGAATAAATATCCTGACTGTGGTGTTTCATCTATTAAAAGTGTATGTTGTGCTTAGATCAGTTGAGTCATCTTTCCAACAATCGCATAAATATTCCTCCCCCGCTTAGTTCAGCTAAGGGTGCAGTACACCAAGGTTGATCAGTTCATGTAAGGCATGCTGGGGAAAATTATCTCACCTGAGTGGCCAGTTTGTTTGACTGGGTTACTCCAACATTAACAGTGATGTGTGAGGGGGGGGGGGGATGGGGGGGGGGTGATGGGCTTGTCCAGCTGGCGGGGTCTGTCATGTAAGCGGGCCCACAAGTCTGTCTGGAGCCATGGTTTCACACCGTATAATGGTTTACACCATGCAAGGGCTGAAACCAGACAAACCTGAAAGTAGTTATGCTTGAGCAGATTCCAGGCCTGCTGTGAGTGTAATGTGTTTTTTTTGTGAGAATACTCTTTACTCACAGGTTTGATGAATCCATCACGTGTTGTTGACTTCATAAGGATTAGGAGTCACTGGCGTTATGGGCATTACATGCCTGTGTGACACAGTCTGCCTTGGTGTATTGAGTACAATGGCAACGTGATATGGGCACTGTCAACCACACTGCCATGAGGTAGGGTGCGTCCCTCTCTTTCTCTTTTCCTCCCGCCCTCTCCATTCTCTATCTCTTGTCTGTACTTTGTGATCTGTGGTCCCACTCCTGATTTCACTTGCCCACTACCATCGTAGGGTGCTGAAGAAAGCTTAGGCCCCATCCACACTACTCTGTTTTAGTTTACAAACGGAGAATTAAAACAAATACGATCTCTGTCCATACCAGCGTTTCCGCTACGTTTTGGACTTGATCTCCGTCTACATTAAAACGACTGAAAACGCACAGTTAGGACCCGTTCAGGTGCACTGGGCCTGATTAAACGTGAAGCAGATGGTCTATTCTGTAGTTACGGAAGATTTGGAGAAAGAATAAATAAATACAGACTAAGCATCAGACCAAGTTGTTTTTATGTTTGTGTTTTTTGTTTTTTGTTGCATGTATCAATAACGAGCTGGAACTGTTACTGAATGTAACACGGGAGTGTGGGGTCAGAAAACAGACTGGGAGTTGTTGCAAAGTAAACGGCGACATGCACAGTACAAGTGTAGGCAGATGAGTGTTATTTGCACGGTACAGAATATTTTAATAAAAATGCATGTCAAAAACCCGATCAGCAGCATCGTGTTTCTGCTTTGCAAGACCCAATCAGAGAGCCGAGCGTGAGCGGCTGCGTCATCGTTTCTAAAGTCCTCCGTTTTGTCCTCACTAAAACGCCCTCCGGAGTTTTGAAACGCAAAACCGGGTCGGCAGTGTTTCCAAACTCCTCCGTTTTAGGTCTTAATTTTCATGGAGGTGCAAAAGTAGCAAAAGGTCTCCGTTTTAATTCGAAAACGCAATAATGTGGACGGGGCCTTAGGCAAGGGATTTGTCCTCCACCCCCTCGGTTTAAAGAAGGCCTTTGGTAAAATGAGCTCCTGCTATCTCTTGAACTCTGCCCCTGCTTTTAGTAGCCCTTCCAACATGCTATCAAGACTATGTCAGAGTCTTGTCGTTCCCTGATGTGCCCTCTGTTTAAAAAAAAAAAAAAAAAAAAATCAAAGACTGGCCATTGGGGAAACAGAAAAGTCCCAGCTTCTTAACTTGTTCAGGGAGCTGCCTGCGCAGAGCAAAACTCTGCTACAGGTGCTGTTTAATGTCAAATCTGATGTGAATGAGTTCAGGTGGAGGAAATACGAGCTTGTCAGATTGGAACATGTGTACACCTGCCCATTAGATCAGAGCCAAGGGAATGTACGGAGAAAGGTTGGAAGTTATTGGGTTCAAAGGTGTGTATCTGTAAAGAGAAGAGCTTGGACAGGGGAGGGGGGGGTAGTATTTCCAGCTGGCTTTTTTTTTTCTTCTTAAATGTGTAGCAGTTATCTATTGTGTATGTACTGTGCATAATTGTTTTTGCTGCGGGATCCCTGCAGCAAAATTATGATCAAATAAATGTGCATGTGCTCTGTATAAAGATTTAAGGCTATTCGCTAGTCCCCAGACGTCCTCCTTTTTTAGAAATCCTTGTTGACCAACAGTTTCTAAAATGTGGCACTGAGTCGGTCAGGTCTGGGGTGGTCTAGTTTCCCCCCCCCCTGTAATGACCAGTGTTGTTAATGACCTCCGTTGGGCTGGAGGCACAGAGCCCTAATTGGTACAGCAGACAGTGTAGCCTCTGACTGACCCAGCTCTGCCATTACTGATGTTGGACCACAAGGGATTACTACCGCCGGAGAGCCAGCAGTTTCACCTTCGGTTGCCCACTCCTCCATGCTCTTAATTTACTTGGAACACTTTGTCTTTGTTTAGAGGGGGGTTGTTGTATGTGTAAAATGTGACCAGCTTTTTGTGCTATACCTTAAATGTACTTTGAGGCAGGCAGCTATTGTCACCGTATACCCAGACAGACCCGGTAGCTATTTGATTTTATGTCTATAGGGCTAAACCTGACACCGTCCTCCATTACATGTCTCTTTGTAGAGGTGTTTGATTGGTTTGTTTTTTTGGCTGCTGCTGGAATGTAGATTAGACTTGATCTGCCTCGTCATTGTGTGCTGTTTTCTCCAATGCTTACCTGACAATGATTCACTTTGATTGGTGTGATCCTGACTAGGGCAGTTAGTAAGAAATGTTTGGCTATGATAATATAGTGTGTGTGTGTGTGTGTGTGTGTATAGACTAGTTCTTAAGCACGATTTAAACCTCTTGTCTTTTTCTGCCTTCCATAGGGAAGTTAGTTTAAACAGAACCTGAGTTTGTTTCACTTGGCAGTTAAGAAATCATCCATGCAATAAACTCAAATATGTAAATTGCTTTTAAAAGCACCTTTTTTATTTAGTTAATAATAAATTATTTTGTTACAAGCGTATGCTTTCTATATTGTGCCAGAGCACTTTGTTGCAGCCCATGTGTATTTCCTGTATCAACACTGCATTTTAGGGCAGGACTGTCAGAGAATGATGATAACCAGATGAAGTTGTTTTGGTGTGAAAACATTATCTGATAGTGCATGTTTGCAAAATAGCATGATGATCATCATCTCTTGTTTTTCCATGGCATCGTTATCTACAATATATGTTTTTGTATATATGCTATTCCTGATTTCTTGTCAGCTGTCTTTTGTGAAATATTCTGTTTATTTGGTTTCTGCTGGTGATGTAGACAAAAAGGCTTACAATATGGAATTATCAAACTGTAGCTAGAGATGGATGTAAATTTTACATATTGTTGTAGAATGTTTCTTTATTAATGCAAATTAAACACCAGAGTTTCTACCTTTTTGTTAAAAGCTAAAAAATGACAATGTTTTTCCATAAAGCCTTTTTTAAGGCTTGATACCCAGCCGGAACTGCAAAATATTTTCAACAGCGGTAGAAAGACAGAAAAACTCTAAGTCTCTGTTCTGCTAATACTTAAAGGGGTTTTTAAGCTTAAATCACATGACGGATGCATTGGCTCACAGTATTGCAATATTCTTGTGCATTATGGAGGGGAGTGTTGACCAGAATGGGGAATTTGAGCAGCAGCATGAAGTCCAAAGTGATGCTGCGCTCACACTTTGTGGCTCATCCAGGGCAGCAGACAGACAGGATGGGATGCAGCCTAGAGGGTGGTGGTTTGTAGAGATAGTAGCGGCAGCAGCCTTTAGCCCCAGAGACTTCACTTTAGAATCAGATCAGTAATCTGACCCTGAGATGCAGACAAAGGTAATGACTTTCCTCCTTCCCCTAGCATTGATTAGGACACAGTTGTGGTGTGTGTGTGCATACGCGTGTGTCCGTCTGTGTGTATTTGCACTCACACTGTCTGGTGGCGTCTCCTTGTCTTGATCAGCTCTCAGTCTGGTATCTGTATGGATCTAATTTCAGCCAGTGCATTTTGGTAATGGTGCTCTGCTCCCCCGCGTGCGCGCACACACACATACCGATTGTCTCTGTCTGCGTCGCTTAGCCCCCAGAAACCCACTGTGTTTGTGTAACCTCGCCGCCTGCTGCGTTTTCCACAAACTTGCCATACTAGAAAGTTCACCCCTGTTTTGACAGGGTTGCGCCGCACGAGTAGCTCTGAACAAAACGCACACACACACACTGTTAATGTGTGAAGTTGTTTGGAGTGGGACTATGCTGTGGTTTTTAGTTGGGCCCAAGTTAAGGCGACTCTGGTTATGGCAACAATGTTTTATTAATCCCTTCCTCACTGTGTCTGCCATTTCCTGTCTCAACATGAACGGAATGATAGGAACTTCACACACTCGCAGCTCTAAGGAATCACTCTTTGCACGCTGTTCTCCCCCTTTTCCTCTACTGTTCCCTCTTCCTGTTATTTGCTCCCTCCCGTAAGTCAAAGTCTAGACTGGGTTTTTAATGACGGTCGCAGCTGGTCACTCGGGCAGACCTCACTCGCAGCTTGGGGGCCCTGTAAGTCCCGCTCGTTGCCCCACTCTGCTCCCTCCCCTCCGTATTGTCCTGCCCTATTTGGGACCAGCCCCCATTCTGTCTGGCCCAAAGCAGCCCCCAAACATCAGGGGCTGTTACTGTTACCCCTGGCCTGTCCCTGCTCCGCCACCCATCCCCCCCTCATGCTGCTCCACGCAGAAGTGCGCTCCCCCACTCCACTCTGCTCTTTGTTCGTGCTGGGCCAGTCCAATCCCTCCTCATGTCGTCTTAATCTCCACACAAAGGACCAGTGTAAAGACCACCAATTATGTGGCTACAAGAGCAGAGTTCACTCAAACCACACACCCGGCCTGTACTCAGATCCATGCGTTGTTGTTCTTTTGTTTTTTTAAGGCTTGATTTCATTCCTTCAAGTCTAGCTATTGCTCCGAATCTAGTGAGATATGCGGAGCAGTGTGCAAACAACATGGCATTTGGGTAAATGCTAGTGGGCCAGCAGTTCTTTATTAGGCATTGTTATATACCAGTGCCCTGTCTTGCATCATATTCATTTTGAATTTACTTTCATTTTTGTCTTCACATTGTGCCATCTTGTGTGACAAAGTGTTTAGGGCTGGGTGATAGGATAATATACACAGTGATTTGTCAGACAGTAGAGATTTTTTCTATAGAGGCATCCCTTTGATATTTCTGGTTGTTATGGGGAATGTTGCAGATCAATGACCAGAACTGTTGTGTTTACAGAAATTTGCTTCGATGTGACAAATTACCTTAATTTCCTGGGTGTTTGGGTAACTGGATATAATATGGTAATATTCTTTCATAGGTTTTTTCCATATTTGCCACCCGTGGTATTATTGCATGTTTGTGTGGAAGCAGGCTACACATGGGATAGTCACAAAGTAGCCTTTAACGAAAGGAGAAGCCTTGCCACAAACCAAACTCTTGGTAGACCACAAACCATCCATGGCTGTTTCGAGAAGGGACTGTGTTTTCAGCCATGTTTGGTTTCCTTCCTGAGCTTCTGTCTGTATGTCTGTGCACCATCTGTCTTACCACACACGGAGTCTCTATGATGGATGCGCCTGTTTATTTTGGATCATGGGGCTCTTATCAGATCGCTGTTGTTAATTTGCTGTTTATTTGGTGCAACATGTATGAGAAAACCGAAGGACATTAAATCTATCTTACAACAGTTGGCTGTTGTGTGAGCATGGTGTGTTTCTCAAACATTTAAACGTCACTCCTACTTTGAGGATGGGTTGATCAAAATGGCTCCTGTCTGGACACACTAGCTGAACATTGATTTATTTCACTGAGAACCAGTAAACATCAGGCCTACAAAAGAGGAGCCTAATGAAAAGACAAATTCAAGTTATCTAAAGTTGATGATATATATATTTTCAGCGACGTCCAGCTTTCTGACTTTCAGCTGTTACTCTTGGCATCTGTCTTTATTTAGCTGAACCATTTGCTCCATTAATGCTGCGTATTGGCGTGATGTGGCACAGGGCTTGTTTTTCTCTCTTTATCGGGCCCAGCCTGCTTCACCTCTCTGTAATCTGCAGGAAATTCCTTCTGCATGCGAACTGTAGTGAATTTGGACGCACTCCACCAAGAGTTCCTGCCACTTTCCCGCTCACCTCCTGGAGAGTGAGACACACACGCAAACACTAAACAGATGAAAAATATTACTGAAACCCTGCTTCCACATTTCCAGTTAACACTCGGTACATAAGCATAGACACATCATCATTCATGCTAAATGCAAAAAAAACACTTCCCACACAGAATGCAGTTTAGTGGAAAGCACTCCTGGTTTGTGGTTTTGGCCACTTGGATGTTAACATGAAGGTGGCGCAATCATTGAATTAGTCATTTTGAGGGGTGGTTTTTTGTTTGTTTGGGTTTTTTTTTTTTTTTTTGTTGAACTGAACAAAAGCCTAATCATGTGACAACTCAGTTGGTTCAAGAATGTGCTAAAATCTACTGACACCTTTTGACAGAGACCCTTGTTGGTACAAACAGTGAAGATCGGTGAGCTCATCTGGTCAAAGAAAGACACAGAGGATTAGTGGAAACTCGCCACTCTTAAAATCTTTTCTTTCCTCTGTTCCAGACATTGTCAGAGGTCCAACTGATGCTGAGCCTCGTTTGTTGTTGTGCAGGAGAATAAGGATTGAAATTCCTCTCTTCTTTGTGTCTCCTCCTGTATTGAGGCTGGTACGGCAGGTCCTCGTTAAGTCCACAGCGGTTAGTCTTGAGTGGTCCAGCCTTTTGTTTTTCTGAACAAGGATCAGCTTTTGGCCTGTCACGCCTCACTCGCAGCCCTGTTGTCAGTGAGACCATTTACAATTGACAGGGGTTCAGTTGAGCATCACCACTTGTTTTGTTTTTTTTGTCGTCCCCCCCCCCCCCCCCCCCATGTGAAAACTAGTTCCACGGCCATCTAGCCTTGCCTGCTCCTGCTTTGCACTCGGTTTGCTCGTGGAAAACCTTGGAAGAAGCCTTTTGTGCTGACCTTAATCTAAATGAGAAGCATGTGTGCTGTGACTCAAAATCACATTTCACTCCAAATCTAATCAGTCTGAAGTTTCTTGATCTCTTGGTTTCCCTACCAACTCTGGTTCTGTCTCAGATTTGTGCGGACCTCCTGGCACTGACCTCACTTGAGTATGTAGGTGGCAGGAGTTCCATTGTGTCAGCTTTAATAGGTCCCCACGCAGGAGTGTGCTGTGTTTAATAAAAATAAGTCTCATTAGCTTAAACAGTGGCAGCTCTTTGTGTCAGTGTGAGAAAGACAGTGGAGAGGAATGGAGCAGAATGCTGCATTGGGGATTTGGCAGGAGCTCTTTCCCCCTGGTTGGGTTTCACTTTGTCTGTCCCACTGGGCAAGTCCGTCTCCACCCTGCGTGTTTGGGTTCATCTGCAGTGAAGGATCTGATTTCAGGGCCGCCGGGGCCGTCTGGCTGCTGCTTCTCAACTCTGTGCTCTGTGTCTGCGGGTCACAAAATGCCTACAACTCAATAGGACGCTACACTCTTTACAGTGTAAACTGCGGGGTTAGCACACCCCCTGCTGGACAAAACTGAGAAGTGAAATGGATTCATTTGTTTTTAACCTGCTGGCTCCATCTGATGGATTATTATTTACTCAATTCTTTCTGTCCTTTCCCGCAGCTCTACGTTGCAACTGCACAAACTGTGAGAAGACGGGCTACGAATGCGAGACAGATGGCGCCTGCATGGCCTCCACATACTCCATCCAGGGGAACGAGCAGCATGTACGCATCTGTATCAACCGGGATAACCTGGTCCCCCCTGGGCAACCTTTCTACTGCCTGAGCGCTGAAGGCCTGCTCAACACACATTGCTGCTATGAAGATTACTGCAATAGTATTGACCTGAAAGTCCCTGGTGAGACTCCATCAAACATCAGCGCTCTTTAAGTTCAACAGAGGCACTGTGTCAGTCTGCTAGATTTAAAGTAATCGCTTCTCCGTCTCCTTCATGTTGCCCTCCTAGTCCCAACAAAAGAAGGGGACTGGCCAGGCTCAGGGAGCTCCTGGGGGCCGGTGGAGCTGGTGGCGGTCATCGCAGGGCCCGTGTTCCTTCTATGTGTGCTGCTGATGGTTGGCGTGTTCCTGTTCCAGTATCATCAGAGGGCCTACAGCCACAGGCAGAGGCTGGAGGTAGAGGACCCATCATGTGACCATCTATACTTGGCCAAGGACAAGACCCTGCAGGACCTCATCTATGACATGTCCACCTCCGGATCAGGCTCTGGTTAGTATATGCTGTCTAGCCCAGTGTGACATACTAATGAGAGAGGAGGGGGGATTGTGTGATCATGTGTCCTTTCTTGTCAGCAAGAGCAGTAGCAGAACAATCTTCTATATCTCATTCTATAAATATCCAAATTAATGATTATTCAGCTGCAAAATCTAGTGAAAATCATCCTGACCTAGAATCTACTGAGAGTACTTGCACCACTTCATGTCTACAAAACAAGTCTACAGGGATGGCTGGCTAATGTTTTGTTTGTCTCTTTACTGCCCCCTGCAGGTTTGCCCTTGTTTGTGCAGAGGACGGTGGCGAGGACCATCGTGCTGCAGGAGATAATAGGAAAGGGTCGCTTCGGTGAGGTGTGGAGAGGGAAGTGGAGGGGAGGAGATGTGGCGGTGAAGATCTTCTCTTCCAGAGAGGAGCGCTCCTGGTTCAGAGAGGCTGAGATCTACCAGACAATCATGCTGCGCCACGAAAACATCCTAGGGTTCATTGCAGCAGACAATAAAGGTGAGGAAGTTTATAGGCTGCGTGGAGACTTGGAGCGTTCCCATGAACATTTCAGGCATTTATCCAAAACATACAGTCACATTGTTTAAATTAATTCTAGACCACCTACATAACAAGAAAGTCAAAGTAAGAATAAGGTGCAGTTAGGTAAAGGGTATCCCTATTTAACTTGATGTTTAGATATTCTCTTTTGCACAGCTCAGTTTTAGTTTAAGCTAATTATCCATTAAATTAGTGAAATGTAATTCCATGTAGATACTCATGTGTTAATTTAATGCTTACTACTCTTTGGTTTTTGGCTCTTTCAGACAATGGCACATGGACTCAGCTGTGGCTGGTGTCAGACTATCACGAGTACGGCTCTCTTTTCGACTACCTGAACCGCTACTCTGTCACCATCGAGGGCATGATCAAACTGGCACTGTCGGCTGCCAGCGGCCTCGCACACCTTCACATGGAAATCCTCGGCACTCAGGGTGAGATGAACTGTCATGTCAGACCGCAGTGAAACTCACACGGGGAATGTGACTGTGCACACAGTAGTTGTCCAGCAAGCGTGTGCATGTTTGTGTTGTATTTTGCTGAGCTCTTGACGCAAATGTGGTAATATGTTATTGGTTTCTTCTGCAGGTAAGCCCGGCATTGCTCACCGTGACCTCAAGTCTAAAAATATCCTGGTTAAGAAAAACGGCATGTGCGCCATAGCTGACCTCGGACTGGCAGTCCGCCACGAGTCCATCACAGACACAATCGATATAGCACCTAACCAGCGAGTGGGCACGAAGAGGTAAATGTTTCCATACTGATTCACTCATAAGCACACAAATGGGGATATGGAACAGGGATCTTGCAGGTCTTGAAGTCTAGCAACAATTTTATTAATGTCAAAGTAAATATATTTGAAAAGTGAGTGACTTATCATTTTTTTTTTTTTTTTTTTTTTTTTTTATATATAAACAATAGCCTTATTGAAGCTTAAGCTCTCTGGACCTTTCAGATAAAACCAGTGATGGATGTTTATTTATTTACAGTGACCGTTAAAGCCCAGCGACATTCATTATTGCACACATTACAATTGTGATTCCTTGAACCTTGAGTCTTTAGGTTTACTCACCCATATGAAACTTCTCATTTGGTGCTACTGCTCATTGCTGCCCTGTGTTCACCCCAGGTACATGGCTCCAGAAGTCCTGGATGAAAGCATCAACATGAAACACTTTGATTCCTTCAAATGTGCTGACATTTACGCACTGGGCCTGGTGTACTGGGAGATTGCGCGTCGCTGCAACGCAGGAGGTAAGACCACAAACAGCAGCATCTGATGTGAGGGAACGGGTCTAATGAAAAAGAGGTGCGAAACCAGAGACTGAGAAGGCCCCTCTGTTGTGTGCTGCAGGTATCCACGAGGAGTACCAGCTGCCCTACTATGACCTCGTGCCCTCTGACCCCTCCATAGAGGAGATGAGGAAGGTGGTGTGTGACCAGAAACTGAGGCCCAATGTGCCCAACTGGTGGCAGAGCTATGAGGTATTTCTCACTCTATATATACTATACAGCAACAGCTGCACTAGCGGGTTTCTAAAAATACTTTAAGTGGCTGTAT